ATCATCAATTTTAAATTAATTATAAATTTAAAATCATATAAAAATATTAAAAAAATTAGAGTGATAAAAAATTAAAAAATATCTATTTCAGTTATTTTAATATTAAAAGATCTTTTATAAAAAAATTTATTAAACAATTTTTTACTCTGTAAGTACTTTTATAAAAAATTTTATCAAACACTTTTAACCTTTTAAAAACAGTACTTTCATAACAGATTCTCTCTAACAAATCTTTTATTAAAAATTCAAAGTACGCCAAACAAATTTTAGTTAAGGTACAATTTCTCCTCCCTTTGAGTTAGGTTCAAAGCCAACGATACATTGTTAAAAAAAATAATAATAATATTATGCTGCAATATTTAACTCGTGTTTGAGTAGAGTGCCTAACAACTCGACTCTCACTCATGACACTTAATGATTTACAGCCTTACTAAAACATCACCTAAAGTAAATCCCGGAAAGTGAAAAAAGGGCAAAAATACTGCCTCTCAATAACAAACCCAAAACCAAAATGCTGCTTTGATCTCGACAATAATGGCTGTTAGTCCATCCACTCGTTCTGCGCCTCCATTCACCCGCTACCTAACTCGGCGTTCGCCGCTTAAGTTGACTTCATCGCGACCCGTTTCCTTCAGCGGAGCTAGGAGCCACCGGATCATCTCGGTTCGAGCCCTGAATTGCGGGTCCAATGGAGTTGGATCCAAGAGGTCGACTAATATGGTAGAGACGGAAGCTCCGACGGCTTCTTCTACTGCCTCGGCTATTGATTTTCTCACCTTGTGTCAGCGTCTTAAGGTACGGAGCTCAAGTGGTTCCATCTTCCAACCCGTTTGGTTCCCCGGCAACCTGGAGAAATGAGGAAAGAAATGTTTTATTGTTTTGTTGTTAGTTCTTTTAACTTTTCTTTCCTCAAGAATGAAATTTGCAGCTGGAATTAGAGGCAGTTGAGGTGTGTTAGTATAAGTTTATTGGAAATTCTTAACCTTTCGTGGGCTAAAGAATGAGGGAGGCAGATGCATTTTTTTTTATTTGGCTTCTTAGATGAACACTGAATATAATTTTGCATGCATGGTGTCATTTTTCCTGTCTTGATTTTCAGAGAATTGTTCACCTGCTCAAATGTTGATGACTTGTAAAATGCCAGGCTTGTGATTGGTTTTCATATCTACCATGCTTTATATTCTGCTTATGGATCATTCACAGAGTAGCTCATGTATTTTTCAGTTGAAGAGAGCTTATCCAATGGAGGACATGATTTCTATCTTTTGAGCACATAAGCAAGGAATAAATTTTTTCGTACGTTGCGCCTTGACGAAACAGTAGAGACTGTAGTGTAGCTGTTGGAAGAAACAGTGAATGCACAGGAAGGGACAGAATCCTTATTTCTAAGGCATAGGATGCCATTCCTTAGCCAATTTTTCATGGACAGAATCTGTATATTGTCCTTTGGTTTAAATCCCCTTTTAAGATTTTTGGCTCGCCTGGTATCCCACTCTTGTTTTATTCTACATGCATAATCATAAATAGTATCCTACAATTTGTGTTTTAACACTAGTTTTGGATTAAGAAACATAGTTCATTAATTTCTTTTCTCTTGTAGACTACCAAAAGGAAAGGGTGGGTCAATCATGGGATAAAGGGTCCTGAATCAATTGCTGCCCATATGTACCGCATGGCTTTGATGGTTTTGATTGCTGGTGACCTTCCTGGCGTGAACAGAGAAAGGTTGAACTTTTATTTTGTTTATTGATGTTCCTTTGGGTTATACGTTAGAGTTTTTGTCTCTTCTTTTTTCTACAGGTGTATCAAGATAGCAATCATTCATGATATCGCAGAAGGTACTTTTCATGTACCATGTTGCAGAAAATCTTCTATGGTTCATTTGTTGAACTTGTAGATATATATAAACAGGATACTACCATTGTCCAAAAATTAGATCAGTTCGTAGCAGTGACAACTTAATGTAGTTCTATACCATTTCAAAGGTCGATGAAGAAACTTTACTTTTTAGCTATGATTCCAACTCAAAAGAATGCATGTTAACTAGCTTGTGGAGCAATTATCTCAGCACTCCACTGATGTGGTTTTAGGAAGCAAGATTGTTTATTTTTCTGATACGGACAATGATTGGTGCACACCCGGATCCAACACTTGGGTGTGCACCCTCCACATAAAAAAAAAAAATTGGACCGGTTGATGGGCATTTTTTTTTTTATATGATGTGTGCACACCCGGGTGTTGGATCTGGGTGTGCACACATCATTTTCCTCCTGATACACTTTAAACCTTATGGGGCAGCTTTTATTGGTGCTTTTGGTGAAAGACTGTCTGTATTATAGATAACTGAGAACGCTGGTTTCTCTATTGCTCGTGTTAGCTTGTATGTTAGCAAATATAGATTTGGGTTTTGAGACTCAGTTTGGGATTTTGATAGCTATTGCTGGAGATATAACACCCTCTGATGGTGTGCCTAAAGAAGAAAAAAAGTAGAAGGGAGTACGCAGCTTTAAATGAGATGTGCAATGTTCTGGGTGGAGGAATGAGAGGTACATTCTAAACTCTGCTGTCCCTGAAAATTCTGGATTACTATATTTTTTGTTACTAGTATCTAATTGTTGTAACATTTCTGCATTCGGCAGCTGAAGAGATCCAGGAACTCTGGGCAGAGTATGAAAATAATGCATCCTTGGAGGCTAATCTTGTGAAAGATTTTGATAAGGTGTGTAGATGCTGGCAATAATGTGTTCAATGATAACCTCTCAGAACTGGAGGAGTTATCAGGACTGGAGGACACTCCTTGACAACTTCTATAATGTAAACTGTAATATCACTCACTCATGCATAGATAAATAAAGACCACTATCTTTTCTTGTCTGTTTATCCAGGTTGAAATGATTCTGCAAGCGCTGGAATATGAAATGGGTAAGCCCTTTGAATAATTTACCTTATGGATGACTGGTCTTTCTCGCCTGAAATTTTGAAATGAAGGCAGAACATGGAAAGTTGCTGGATGGGTTTTTCCTTTCAACAGCAGGTAGGGTAGTTTTCTTTTTCAGTGTGACCATGGGATGAATGAACATCTTAACAACTACATTTTTACTCTCTAATTGTAAACACAAGATTTTACTTATCTTCAATTTTCAGGAAAGTTTCAGACAGAAATTGGAAAGAGCTGGGCAGCTGAGATAAATTCAAGGAGAAAATCATGATTGACAAACAATTCTACCAATTGATATCCTGGATCAGTTCTGGTTTTTTATTTTTTCTGTTTCATAAGGCCAACCTTTTTTCCTAATGGAAAATAGGTGGAGCAAAATTTCATCCAGAGACTTGTCAGTGATCACCATCACTTTTTTTCAGTCCTTGTTGTGGAAGCAACCAAAAGGATTCATCATTGACAAACTGAACGAGCAAGTCTATCAGGCCTACTGGTGCACGCTTCTATTAGGTGCATTTTGCCTTTAATTTTCCTGTAGCTAAAGTATGAGGAATATTATCCTAGTATTCAGAAGTTATTGAACATTTCGGAAATATATCCAGCAACCACTGATCTACTCTAAATCAATCGTATACTTCATCTTTGTACCTTTGCGGAGAGTCAACTCCAACCTTCGATACTAATAAGAATGCCTTACAGAAGCTGGGAAACACTTGCTTGGCTCTAAAAATTTTTGTGGTACATGTTCATTAACGGATTAGTTTCCTTGGTTTATGGATGCGATTGAATGCATGATGAGCCTCTTATAACAGCACTAAGGGATGGTGCGTAATCATGTAGCTTTATAAGATTTCTATGTTTGAAACTTGAAAAGTGATCAGGTTGGCACTTTTCAATTACATCAATCTTTTGTACATTTGTGTTTGAAAGAGATTCATTTTGGTATCTGCTTGCTTAAGGATGATGTTGTTTGCTTTAATCATCTTCTGCCAACAAAACAAAATAACTCCGTAATGGTTCATCAGTTTTTCGTTTTAGCCTCCTAAATTGACTTAATATGTCCTTCTCATGATTTATTATTTTACCTTTCTCTTTCTGTATTATGATTTGTTGGGGGGAACTATTTCGACAGAGATTGAGAATGGCCCTTCCCTTCTGTTGAAAAAATTCAGAATACAAAGATTTAGGTCTAAGTGTAACACTTTTATCTTAGGAGTTCAACTTTGGAGAAATTTTATAATTTATGATAAATTTTTATTTAATAAAAAGTAATTACTATATTAAATAGAGTCTAGGGTAATGTTGGAGAATGCATGAGTGATGATGTGAACTACGTATTTGATAGTTGACATGATTTTTGAAAATGTTGCATGAAAAATGACTTAGTGGTGTGTATTAATGTGTAAATCAATATTAATGCATACTAAATTGACAATAAGTCATTGGATTTGGTTCAAGCGGTTAAGTTATGATTCGAATCATGTTGAAAATAAGAATTCAAAT